TGTTGACAATCAAAATTTTATATTCGAGGAAATAATTGCAATGCGTTCTCAAAATGATATCACGAGATGAATATACAAAATGAACTAATTTTGAAACTGTAGATAAATTACAAAAACATAAACAAGTAACTAGAGAAAAAATATCATAGATATTATGTCTCATTTTTAAAACACATTAATGATCATAGTTTTATTTTGTTTTGCTTAAAGAATACTGCGAGAACATGGATGTAAAAACATGCTTTCCGCATCCTATGCTAGAATCGATTGATTTTTCATTAAACAAAAATTCTTAAGAACAATAATAACCTTCTATCTATAGTTTTGTTGGGTTTGTACCGTACTGAGCTCTCAATTGAGCAGAGAGAATCTAATAAAATAAAAATTCGTCATTCTTTTTCAAGAAACATTAATGCTATCTGTGAATAATATTCCCAATAGGTTATCTAAAACAAGCGAATAAATGAAAACTCAGTAGAAAAAAAAACAAATTTCAAATATGTTTATGGTTACTGGTTCATATGCCATTGATCTCATCACTATGGGAAACTTTGAAGCATATATGCAGATCGACTATGAAATGAAGCAAAAGTTTAACGAGTATCATCTGATCAAAATAGCTTGGTTAATTTCTAGCTGTATATTTGAAAAAAAACTCATGTTTTTCCAAAACTCTCTAACCTTTTCTTCAAGCAAATTTTCGTTGAATTCAACTTTGAATAGCTAACAATAGAAACTTCTCAAATATGTCTCTGAGGAGAGGTTGCGTATATTTCATAAATTTCTCAAGTCAAATATTGATGAAAAATATTAGGTATTGAGGTTTCTTGACGAAGTTGTTGTCGTTAAAAACATTCTAGTAATATCTGCCACTATTCTATGTGATTCCTATTCACTCAATAATTTTCTACATACTGAACAATTTCATATCTTCGATTTTATTCTTATTAATATTGTTTTCCCATTCTTCTCTCTTGAAGTCCTATGTCCTTCAAGATATTGTGAATCTTTATTTTTCGATGTATTTTATTGTTATATTAATTCACCATCAATTGCTGGTTCGTTCGGTACCATAATTATCTCCAAAAAAAATTAACAAGCAAAACTAATATAAAAAAAAAAGAATTAAAACATCTTTTGTACAAGTACACGGTGTTACAACAGATGACTTTTGTTTATATTGTCAACATTACGCAACAATTTACATTATAAGCAATAATCATTCGTCCATGATCAACAAAAAAAAAAATCGGACAAAAAATATTTGTTAATATGCTATGTCAATACGGCACAAACATTTATCTTCTTTTCAATGAACATCTTCAACATTAATCTAACTATTCATAATTATATATTGTAACGTCATTGATTCATTTTCATTTCATACTGGCATAACAATTTTTACGTGCTGTTATTCATATGATTAATATGGCCAGTCCCAATCAATTGTCGTCAAGTATCATTTGATGGTTCATCACTAACTAAATCATAACTATCTAGTTAAGAAATAGAATTAGAAAAGTTTAACGAAGAAGAGTTTCATTTCCCTACATACGTGACTCAGAATTGGTTTTTCATTAAATTCATTCCTTGTAACTTTTCATATCAAATACATGTATTTCAGTAGAAGACTTGTAATTATTATTGCATGATCATGTTGCATACGATGAAAACTTTTATAGGTTTGCATATATTTTAATTGAACAAATAAATCGAGACTATTTTTTTGACAAAATTCAAACAATGATATCCAATATGGAATAATATTCATCTAAATAAATAAAAATAAGTCTTTTATAAGCTTCATTTTATCTTCAAGAAATGCAATCCTTCATAAGTTTTTTTATGATTTACATCGACAAAAAGTAGCCCTGATTTCCATATAGAATGGTTATCGTTTCGAGAAGAGCGTTTGATATTTAATTGTTCAAGCGATTATTCGTTTTATAAGAAAATTTGGGATATCTGTAAATTGACATTGGAAACTTCGTACTGCATTTTACAGTCGAGTGAAACTTAAATGTCATCTAGCTTTTCTAAGAGAATTCTCCTCTTTTCGATATTTCTGAAAAACAATGCATCAGAAAAATCTTACACTTTCAGGACGGATAGACCTTGATAAGTAGAGTAGAAGTTGTCATAGACTCAACATGATTCCCTCATTGCTCCGTTTCTCAGCCGCAATAGGTCTCATAAAGGTGAAAAGTTCTTTTACAGATACTAAACATTGTTCGGGATTTCAATTTAAACGGAATAACTAATTTTTTTGCTCGTGTATGAAAGTAATAAGAAATTGGAATAATGTACTTGTTGTGAAAAGATATTATCATGCATATGTGCCCCTTTAGCATATTCAAGTTAAATTTTATTGATTTATTCATACTGTGGAAGGATAAAATTTTGAAACAATGACTATCAACATATTATATGAGCTACAAATTCAATTGAATTTTGATTTTTAAATGATTTATAAAGTTAACTTTGTTGTTGTATCTGTAATAGTTGAATATTCTACTTTGCTTTTGTAAAATTCGAGAGACTGACATTGTCAAATCTTTGTATATTGCCTGTTGTAATATTGAATCATTCGATTGAACTTCGTCAATAATTTTTGATTCTATTATTCTTTCTACTCAAAAGTATTAATCTGTTACGATTATATACATACATAAGATTATTAATTTATTTCATACTGCAAAATATAATTTATTCAAAATATAAATAGATTTTTTAAATGATCTTATTATTTCATAGTATGTTTGATAGTTTTTAATCAATAGTTCAAAAATATAGTACAACATCAGTTGATTGAGAAATGATCATATTCATTAATCTATTCTAAAAGAATTTGAAACAGCTGTGTTGATATACTGAAGGCTTTTTTTCTTTATTAATTATCATTTCAAGAGAAGAAAAAATTTTTTACAAAGATAAATAAATTCTATTTTGATATGCATGTTACAGAGTTTGAAAAATAAAGAAGAAAAAAAAAATTTTGTTTCGAATATAATTAGAAAATAACTGACAGTTCAAATGCAATACTTGTTAATAATTTATATACACAATAAAGAAAGACTATATTAGTAAACATCTGTTGTATTATTCATTGTTGAATCAATCACCGTTGTTGTTTCATTAAGATTTTTAGATGGAATAGATTTTCGAAGTACAACTTTACATCGTCCATTAGCAATTATTTTTGGTTCAACACCTTGTTTATTTGTCATTAATTCAATCATTTTTGTATAAGCTAATTTTTGTGCTTGTCGTCTTGATTTATGTATACCATTAGATAATATTATTTTTGAATTAAGTATAAGTCGATAAAACCAAATATATTTATTATTTAATGTTTTTAATTGTTCATTATTAGTTATTAATAAAGGTGAAGTTATAAGTGATTGTATATATTCAACATCATCTGTTAATGAAACATGAGAATTAACAAGACAATCACGTAATTGAGAAACAAGTATAATATCAGCCATTAATGGATGACTATCACTATAAATTTATATTAACAATAAAAAATAGAATGTTATTAAAAACAAACAAAAAAATTTTACCCTTCAAAATCACTTGTATCAGAAAGAAGATTTGCCCATTTAGCTTCTTCTTCAAAATCATCAGTATCATCATATTCTAAAATGAATCATAGAGAATAAAGAACTTTTTTTTTCAATATGACTACAGTTCATTTGGAATATTTTATCGAGATTTTCTATTCCAAAGAAATGATTTAAAAGTCCGGAAGGACGAACATCTATTTTTTCAAACACAGAAACATTGTACATGATACAATAATCACAAATTCCGAGAGGATACCATCCCTTCAGTCTTCATGCTAGATAAAACTGTTAATTTTTTTTCGAAATTAAAATAGCATCATCGTATCTCTTGGATGTTTATTGAAAAAATAAATCTCTCTATAACAATATTAAAAGAATAACTAAGACTTTACCATAACTATAAATTGTTTGTCTATCCAATAAAGATCAACATCTATTTTAATAGGACTTAGCTCGTTATCATAAAAGGAAATGAAATCTCTAGCTTAACATCAACAAAGCAAACGAAAAACCTATTCTAATCAATATCAAATTAACGAAAATTTACAATTTGATGATAAAAACTTCTGATACAGGAAACTTTACAGTTTTCTTTCTCTGATTCTTCTCATAGCTAAATTTACTTTCCGATAAATTTCTATGTAAAATTTTCGTATTGATATTAACAGACTTGTAAAATTTGTATTTCAGCAAGATAATTGAACATCTTTTTAAGCTTATCCTAATCTGACTATAAGTGAAATGTAGATATATGAAAAACAATCTTTCATTTGACGATATTTTCTTATTTGTATTTCTCATTATACTTACTATCATTATCTGGATTATGCTCTTTACTTTGATTTTTGTTTTTATCTACAATAAAATAATATCAAAAAAAAAAGTAAATCATTTGATTATAAACTTAATTTTTACCAGATGAATATTCTTTTTCAATTTGTGAATTAGATTGTTTGATTAATGAAAGACCGTCTTCATTTAATAATTTCATTGTTTCATTAATCTTCATTTCTTATAAAAAACAAAAGAAGAATTAATTAGAAAGAAAAACAAAAAAAATCTAAAAGAAACAAAATAATCAAAAATATTTACTTGTAAT